CAGCAAAAGCAGCAGCAGCAACAACAGCAGCAACAACAACAGCAGCAGCAGCAGCACTCACAGCAACTGAGTAACAACAGCAGCAAAAGCAATGTGAGAAACCGCAACAATGCTGAGAACACTGAACGTACCTTGAGGAACTGGTTCAAACATTTGTCTTTATTGTTGCGAATATCACCATTCATCTCCCAGTACAGTTTACCCAACAAGAAGTAATAATGAGCACAGTCTGGACATAATTCTATGGCCTCTAGAAATCTGCCACATACAATTAATTTTAGGGAAATTTTTTAAGGGAATGTACGTTATTTATTTGGGGGGAGGAGAGCTGGAGCTCACAGAGGAGAATCATCAGTGAAAATTTGAACTTTTGTGAAGGGTCGAACCTTTTTGATGAAAGCAAGTTTCTTGTTGAATAAAGAGTAGGGTCATTAATTTCGTACTGAGTGAAATGGGAAGAGCTACTAATCATCCCTCCCCCCCCCCCCCCCCCCCCCCCCCCCCCCCCCCCCCCCATGCATCTCCCCCGATAAAGAGTGTACCTTCCCTAAAACCTGTGAAAATGTGTCATTCTCATGGAATAGGAAAATAAATTCATAAATTAAGGTAAAACAGAGTCGTAGAAGTTAAAAAAGGGGGATTGGTTTGTCTTTTTGTTTAAAAAGAAAGGAAACAGACAAAGCAAACTAGAACAGCAATTTTGGTGTACCTGAGTTCTGCGTCATCAAATAGTTTGTCTGCCAAACTTATCTTGCCCTGTAATTAAGTGAATCAAGCATATTGATCAGAAACTAAAGTTGTGAAGAAACATCTTCAGAATTTCTATGAAACAAAAATTGGCATAAAATAATTTTATCTCACAAGCTTCCAATGGGCTAAATGTGACACTTTCTTAAACTTGTTGGGCGTCTTCCATTAAAACCTTGCTGAGATTTTCCAAATGCCGAAAAGTACAAATTTTGTAACAGAAGAAGATTACCTGCAATGCTACACTTGTGTGGCATGATTTGTTAATGTTCAATGCTTTGTTACAGTACTAAATGAATGACAATAAAAGATTCAGTTAGCACATATCATTCAAAAGGTATCCTTTTTTCAATATAAATGACCATATTTAAGGGTATCCTTTTTTCAAATGACAATATTTAAGGGTATCCTTGAACATATTCAAGAGTATCCTTGACCATATTTAAGAGTATCCTTTTTTTAAATGACCATATTTAAGGGTATCCTTTATCAAATGACCTTATTTAAGAGTATCCTTTTTTCTGTATCCTTTTTCTAAATGACCACATTTAAGAGTATCCTTGACCATATTCAAGGGTATCCTCAACCATATTTAAGGGTATCCTTTTTTTCAAATTATCATATTTAATCATAAGGCTTCCTTGGCCATATTTAAAGTGCCTATAACCTTCATAGGATTATGATCAATTTTGATCTTCTGTGTGCTGGAGATGAATAAACAAAAAAAGTTTTTTCGATTGACTAAATATTCTCGGAGATATAAGGCCCTAAAGTACGCAGTTTTGCCACGCCCCATCAATTTGGACGGGATAAAGGCAAACTGGGACCGAGCAGAGTCTCGCTGAGTGGTGACGTCACAACAAGAACGAATGTTTTGATAAGCAAAGATTCTTACTAGTTCTTCGGTCAGAATATGAGAAAATGCCGACTAGATGTGTTGTTGCTGGGTGCTCAAACACCCCAGATTTTACGAAAGGTATATACTTGCATAAGA